CCCAAAAAAAAAAAAAAAAAAAAAAGAATACACTGGATCTACTGTCTAATTTGAAAAATGCTTTTTCCTAAAGGGAAATTCTATGCATTATGAAGGCTATAAATATAATGAACTTTCATTTCTTTAAGCAATAGTCTTAGTAGATTAGTAAGACTGCCAGCTTTTAGGACCTTCACTTACACAGAGAATGAAAAAACAGAGAATGAGGAAAATAAGAATAACCGAGCACCTGTTTCTCTCCACCTGAATTTCCAAAGGTGTGGCGGAGGCCATTCTGAATGACATTTGAGATCCCTTCCATGCTGAAGCGCTAAAGGCAGCGATATACGGCCCAGAAGAAAAGGACAGAGAAAGAAGTTCAAAGACTATTAGTAAGAATGTACCATGATGACTTATGTACCCAAGAGGCAAGCAGTTAGAAAATGCCACTAACTCATTCAGATAAAGCAGACAAAATCATGCTGTTTTAAAATGCTTTTGCTTCCATTTCTTTGCAAGTCAAATGCAAAAGCAACTTTCATGCGACTATATATGAAGATTTTTCCTGACGTAGCTGATAAATGTGCTCCGATATAAACACTATAAGTTGTACACATATTTGTTTTATGCAAAATTTACCTCATAACTTTAAAGATACCTTTTGGTATTGTTTACCTACATTTTTTCAAAAGTCTGAAAACTTAATACTGACAGTATGCATATTTTCAGTCTAAGTTTGCATATTTCTACCATAAGTTCGGAGAACATTAACATAACATTTGGCAAATGAAAATGCTGTTACTCGGAGAGCTGATTATTGCTTCCTACTCACTCTTCAGGACACCTGCCATCGCCTTGGGGCAGAAAATTCGAACTGGAAGAGCACATATGCTTCCTGGAGAGCAGAGTGGATCCCATGTGCCAGCGAGGCCCCCTAAGACTTCTGCAGACATTTCCATTCTGTTTCTAGGAAACAATTCTAGCTTTTTTCTCCCAGCAACCTCCAAGACTTACTAGAATTCGTTGTACTGAAAAGGGAATATTGTTTTCCTACACTACTCATCTTGATTTGTAACCAGTCTACAATGTCATCAGACAGTCAAAAAGAGTCCAGTGGCACCTCTGGGGCTGCTGAGTCAAAGGACTTCGATGGATCCTCTTACAGCATGACTAATTAAGGGGAAAGGCATTCTGAAAAGGAAGTTCAGTCCTGATTCACCGGATGCTTCCTCCCCCTGTAATTTTATAGGGGTGAGTTGAATCAGTAAATACATTTGAGGAGTCAATATAAGGAGTATTTTACCAGGCCCTAATGAACAGAAAAAAGGAAACTAAGGCAATGGTTTCTGCCCTCAAGAAAGGCATAGTGTAGCCCAGTGATTCTCAAAGTGTGGTCCAGATCAAGACAGCTCCACTAAACATGCTGTACTTTGCTAGCAGCGTAACTCTTCTTTTGATGAAGCAGGCTAGTTTTAAAAGAAAACCTACAGATAACCCTGTCTGTAGATTTTTCACATGCTATCATATAACTTGTTCACATTTTTTAAAGAGATTATCAAAAGAAAGGACCTCTTAGCCTCCAGCGACTGCAATAAAACTTACGGGAAACTCTTTTCAAATAAACAAGTCAGCTCTTTTTAAAAAAAAAAAAAATTATGTCTATCAAACACAGTTCCTTTCAAAAGCAACAAAGAGAAAAATACTAAATTTTCTGTATTACTTCACTCCATTATCTACAGGCATGTTAAAGCCAGATACAAATTCAGAAAATCTCAAGCAAGGTGAAGGATTTTAGAATCCATGTATCAGAAAACTAAGGAATACTTCATACTTGGACAGTGTATTCTAAAAACACCATCTTTACCTTTCCCAACTGGCAACCTAATTCCCGTCTCTTGCGGGTGGGGGTGGGAGTAGTTTATGCAAATTTTTAAATTCTTAAGCTGTAATTTAAATTTCTTTATTAAATGTCCAGTTGTGGACATTACTGAGCCATTTCAACTGCCAATAGCCTGAGTATTTGTGAAAGATGGCTTTCATGCAACCAGGCTTAGTGGAAATAAATGAAAATGCAATCGTGTGAAGCCACGGTAACTTTGGAACATACAAAACGAAAGAAGTTAAGTAAATGAACTCCCAGTAGAACCTTTGCCCTTGCGGCTGATGACAGCTGAGTCAGTAGCTGTGGCCAGTCAGGCCCCACTGTATCCTGACCAGGCAAGCAACACAGCAGCCAACAAGGTTCAACTGGGGAAATGACAGAACGAGAAAAATCAGAACATTCAAGGGAAGCACAAAGAAACCAACTATGAAGTACCACTGAGAACGTTCCACCCCCAATGCTCCAGCTGCCATCAACTCCCACCTCCCCAGAAATCACTAACAATTTTCTCCCTTTACTCCATGTTCAAACTCTTCCTCTCTGCTAGCTCTTTCCCACATTGCCAACTTTAAATTCTGAAACACTCAACCTCTCTTTCGCCAGGGTTTCCAGAAACAGCTCTGCCCAGCGTCATTTCTTTGATGCCAAGGTCTGCGGACACCTTTCAGACCCCTCGCAGACATCCAGTGAGCTCTTCTCCCTGCCTGCCTGGCTTCCTGGACACCACACTCTCCCAGAGTCCCCCCTGCCTCTGGGCTGCTTCTTCTGAGAAGTGCCTCTTTCTTTGCTCACCTCTTAGATACTGGTGTTTCCCAGGGATTGTGTCCCTATTTTTTTTCTCATGCACACTCTGACTTTTCCCACTTCGACTTCTGCCTCTGTAGATCTACAGCTCCACTCTACTAAGAGCAATAAAGTGCTTGGAACAGAGCCTGGCACAAAGGAAGGGCTCAAGAAACACTGGCTACCTTTATTTTAATTTCCCTCCTGAGCTTCGGACTTGCACGTTTAGTGGTCTGTTGGACCCTTGTACTTAAACATTCCAAAAACGCATCATATCCAAGACTGAATTTATCTTCTTCTCCCCCGGCAATTTTTTTTCTTATTAAAAGCCTGTTTCTCCTTCAGCATTCTGTACCTCTCTCCTTCATTTATTCATTCTTTCAAAAAATATACTGAGCCACATATTATTCCAGGTATTAAGGATTCAAAGAGAACACATCAGCCAAGGCCCCTCCCATCCTCATGACCTGACATTCCAGCCTAAGAGGAGCAGAAAAATTAAAACAAGTAAAGGAACTAGATAACTGCAGATAATGCATGCCCTGCCAATAGCTACAACAATTAAAAACTGGATGCCTACTTTACACTGGGAGGTCAGAGGAAAGTTCTCCTAGGAGGTGATATCTGAGCTGAAACATGAATTATACACACTCCCAGATGAGCTACAAAGGACAATGGACAAGAGATCCTCTCAGAACAAAACCAAAAGCAGCCAAACTGGCCAACCAAGGAGTTCACCCTGCGGCCAGTGAGCAGGGGTCCTGTTATTCTGCTGCAGCAGGATGTGAAACAGTAGCTACTGAGTATTTCCATTCTCCCCTCCTTCCAATAAGAAGGTTTTATTACAGCAGCCCTGTTCTCTCTCCATCTTCATGTGCTGGATGTGCTGGAATGGGAGGCTTGCTCTTTGTACCATGAGGAGCTACATCATCCAGAGCTGATGGGAAGGACAGACATCCCCCAAAGATACTGTGCTAGATGCAGTTACTGTTGAAGAGATTTGCATATCTCACTTTGGGGAAGGGGTACACATGTTCTACCTATGCCACCCCCAGGCAGAAATCAATGACCCAACCCTGGCCCCTCCCTTCTCCAGAGCCCCAACCAATAGATTCAACTGCCTTAATATCTCTGAAATTCAACTATTTTCCCATTGCTGTCACTTCCTTGGCTCGATTCTTTCCTGATGACAGCAACAGCCTCCAAATCAATTCCTTATCTCTAGCTGTCTCCTTCCGATTACTTTCTCCTTGAAACTCTGAAGTTACCCTTCCAAGAGACAAATCTGAATATGTAACAAGCCACTCAAAACCTCTCCTTGGTTTGCTACAGCCTTTAAATAAGGACCAAATGCCACAGCGAGGCATACAGCACAAAGCCCTCCATCTTCTGGCTTCTACTTTGTTACCCACACCCTCTTCTTCTTGACTTACTTCCTCCCTCAACCTCCAGCCATAATGAACAACCTGCTGTTCCCCAGATGCCCTGTCACCTCCAGGTGGTTGCCCACACCACCCCCTCTGCTCAGTATGCCTGTCCCCTCCTTCCTCTGCTTGTCCTCAGGATTCAATTCAGACCCCTCAGCCAAACTAGGGGTGATAGTAATGTACACACACCGCTACCACAGGACAGTACCAGGCACAGAAAGCCCTAAAAACGTGGTAGCTGTTTTGAATATAGTAATAATTACCCTATCCCTAGGTTTCTCAACCTTGACACTACTGACATTGAATTACACATATGTAATTCTTTGATGTGGGAGCAGTCCTGTGAATTGTAGGATGTTGAATGGCATCTCTGGCCTCTACTCAGCCGGATGCCAGTGACACCCCCCTGCCCTCCGCCAAGTTGTGACAGTGACAAACGTTTCCGGACATTCCCTAATGTCTCCTGGAGGACAGAATTGGCCTGGTTGAGAATCACTGCATGTGCATTGGATGGTCTGCCATCAGATCGCCAGCCCACAGGCTGCATGTCCCTGGAGGCTGGGATTTACTCTGCATCCTTAACACCCATGCCCAGCACATAATTAGATATCAATATATGTTTTTCTAATAGTACTAAATGAAAAGATAAAAGTTTAACTTGCCACATAGATGGACCTTGAAGGCATTATGCTAAGTGAAGTGAGTCACACAGAGAAAGACAAATAGTGTATGATCTCACTTATATGTGGAATCTTAAAAAAATAAAATAAAAACCTAAACTCATAGAAAAAGAGATCACACTTGTGGTTACCACAGGTGGAGGGTGTGGGGAGAGGGGACTGGAGGAAGGTGGTCAACCAGTATAAACTTCCAGTTATGAGATAAATAAGCACTAGTGATGTAATGTACAACATGATGACTTTACTTAGCACTGACATATGATGTATAAGAGTAAATCCTAGGAGTTCTCATCACAAGGAAAACCTTTTTTCTCCTTTCTTCTTTCTTTGAACTGTATCTATATGAGAAGATGGATGTTAGCTGATCCTCCTGTGGTAATCATTTCACCATATTTATAAATCAAACCTTCATGCTATATACCTTAAACTTACACAGCAATGTATGGCATTTATTTCTCAATAAAACTGGAAAAAAGAAAGAGGTTTTTGTTTTTTTTTTTAACGTGGGGATGAGGCACAAGATCTAAAAAACAGAACAGAAAGAAAAAAGAAAGTTTGG